TAGCGGGGTAGTGGATATTGTATTTTTGAGGGCTCTATTCGGGACTGGACTCTAATCGAGAAAATCCGTTAAGATACTGGAGTCGACGTAAAGGGGAGGACTGTGGGTCACGTGAGCTGCTGGTTTCACATCATGCACTAGCTAATTTTTTTGCTGTCGGACATTGTAAAAGAGATACATATAGTACTGTTTAAATGAACTTCATCTAAATATAAGTGTCATTATTGAACGAAAGAGCAGACGAAGTACTTATACTCTATTGGTCAGAGCTTACGCACGGCAAATCGATAGTAATAAAGTTGGGAGTGTGGGAAATACCCAACTACACGGTATACCCATTTTTTGACTACAAAAAGGGTTGGACCCATATTTCGTACTTTCGACAATGGTGCAGGCGACGCTGGCTCATGTATCGTCAGGCTGTAATGCCAATACGAATTCGCTGTCAACAATGTTTCGCTGCGTGCCATTTGATCATGAACATGGCAACTATTGCGGCGCTTTTGCGTCAAAGAACGCGGTGTGTATGCTAAGTAGCAGTGTCAACAGTAAATCTGATGCAGCGCGACTAAAAGTTGTCGAGACTTTGAAGCACCGCGAGGCGGTCATCAACACGACAAAAATCACAAGTGTTAAAATTATGAGTGATGATTTTTCTTGTGGAGTTCGCGTTCTGGCAGGAGATTCGGAAGGCCGCGTATTTGTTTGGACAAAGTCAAACGGTCAGTGGAACGTCCAGAAGCTCCAAGATATAGAGACTTCTACAAAGATGGCTGTAGCAGCAGTGGGCGCTGCTGCTACCAGAACATGCTGGATGTACGTTGCTGCGTTTACAGATGGGACATTAGTTCTGTACGAGCAAAAACAAGGTGAGAATGCGAATCTTTTACATCTACTGGAGCTCGGTAAAAGAAGCATCATGGAAGCAGTGGACATGACAGTGATAATCAATGAAAATAACAAAGAGCAGAGTTTTCTAGTGGCAGCAGGTGGTGTAGATCAAAAAATTCATCTTTTGGAAGTAACAAAGAAAGTGACAAACTTGCTGAAGCTTGATGGACATCGAGATTGGATTCGTAGTCTTGCTTTTGAGCGAAAAATAACAAGCGCTGGGGATGAATTGATGCTGGCATCGGCGTCACAAGATCATAAAATTCGGTTGTGGAGAATCATGACAAGTCTCGGGGATGCAAAGATGGCATGTAGCAAAAAAACGCAACACTTTCAGGCTCAAGGCTGCTTTTTGACGTACACCGTGAGCTTCGATGCACTGCTACTTGGTCACGAAGATTGGGTAACGTCTGTACAGTGGATGGAAAATAGCAGCGCTTTGCTTTCCTCTTCGATGGATAACTCGCTTATCATATGGACAAGAAATGCAAATGATGGTAGTATTTGGTCACCGTCGCTTCGTGTCGGTGAATTGGGTGGTATCGGTCTGTTATCTGCAGGTTTTTTACCAGCCTATGATGAACGTATCAATTTGATTGCGCTAGGTTTTAAGGGACAATTAGAATATTGGGAGCAACAGCCTGCGCCGTCCACTTCGTTTCTTCCGGCTATATCTGTTAACGGCCACGGAGCTGAGGTCACTGATATATCTTGGTCACCACGTGGAAAAAGCTTCGTTTCTGTGTCACTGGATCAGACTGCACGTATTTTAGCACGAATTTCACCAGTTGATAACGCGTTGATGCATTCAGCTGAATGGTTCGAAGTTTCAAGAGCCCAAGTACACGGCTATGATATCAATTGCGCATGTTTTGTACTAGGAGACCGACTCGGCAATAATAAATTTGTGAGCGGTGCCGCTGAGAAGATTTTGCGTGTGTTTGAGACTCCTGACGAGGTAGAAAAGCTTGTCAATATGACGCACAGTGATGAGAGGGCACTTGTCGATTCACTCAACCAAACAGACTTGCAAGTGAGGAAAGTAAACAATGCTTACCTTTCAGAACTGAGTCTGACGAACAAGTCGCCGAAAATTGAAGCATGTACTTCGGACAAAATGAAAGGCGACGGGTATGCAAAGTTTAATGAATGGGTCTCGTTACCAGTTGGAGACACGCTAGGCCGTAGGACTCTTTGGCCCGAGATACGCAAACTTTATGGTCACGGCAACGAGCTTCTCACTGTGGCATCGTCGTATGCTGGCGACTTGATAGCGTCCGCGTGCAAATCACGGGAAGAGCGCTATGCTGCAGTGCGTCTCTGGAATACTCTGGACTGGACTGAAGCTCAGGAACCGCTTGGAGGTCCCAAGAGCTCTGTTGTGCAGTTAGCTTTTTCTCAAAATGATAAATTTCTCTTGTCGGTGTCAAAAGACAGACATTTTTGTCTCTATGAGCGGGAGGAAGGTCCCGAACGGAAATTTAAGCTGTTAGAGCGTGTAAAAGCACACAAACGAATAATTTGGAGTTGTTCTTGGGCTCCAAACTCAGCACTTTTTGCACTTGGGTCTCGAGACCAGTCATTTTCGCTTTGGTGGAAGACTCAAGATACTTGGAGTCAGGCATGTGAACCGGTCACGTTTGAAGCAGCTGTCACTGCTGTGGCATTTGCTCATTACAGTTTGGCAGAATCTGTCGATTTACTTGCTGTTGGCTTTGAAACTGGAGCGATTCAATTTTTTACGGTTTCAAAATCTAAAGACGAGCCTGTTGTGGTCGTTTGTACATTGGTGGGCGAAGTGGCATGGGAATCGTCGCCTTCTGCAGCAATTCTACGTCTAGCGTGGCGTCCTTCAAACGGTGATAAGGATTATGTGCTCGCAGTAGCCAGCAGCGATAATTCGGTGCGAGTGTACAATGTTATGGGGGATTGATAGCAATTTAATGAACTATAATTCTGTAATTTTCGACTGTTTAATCATGTATTTGGACATTTCGCTTGCAAGAACCTCCGCTTGAGTGGGATAGAGCTCTCGAACATAGTCGAGATCCTGACGGCTTAAGACATGAATCTGTACCCACGTAAGTGCCACAGTAGTGGCTGACCGTTTGATGTGTTGCAACAAGGCCATTTCTCCGAAGTATTCGCCTTTGTACAGAATTCGAATTATTCTTACTGTTTTCGAATTGGGATCTAGTACCCCCACCGTTCCTTTTGAGCCAATAAATCCCATCCAATCTCCGAAATCGTCCTTTCGGATTAATACGTCGTCTTGCATGTAAATAACTGTACGCAAGCGTAATACGAGCACTTCGATTACAGCTGGAGCCAAAGTTTTTGCTGATAAAAAAGGAATTTGTTTGAGCATATCCCGATAAAGCTGAAATTTTACCTCACATATAAGTGCCGGAGACAATTCATTGATAAAAGCATCAGCGTCAGCATTAACGCTCTTTGTTTCGCGCCATAAATTTTCATAATATCCACGAATTCGCTTTGCAAGTTCGTCAGATATTCCAAGAAAGCGGCAACGTTCAGATGTCGAGATAATTTTCTTGCTATATGCTGCCTCCTTCTCGTCAATCGATGCAATTAATGCTGCGACGGCTCCAAAGACACTAGCTTGTAGGATATTTCCGATCAGCATAAAGCAAGCTACCGAAATGAATTCTGCGGTGGTGTACATTAGCGGAGGACTGGCATTTACACACCCAATAACAAGCGACCAGCAAAGACTGTACTCGTCAAAGAGTGACTGTGGAATAAAATTTCCTTCGTTTACGTGGGCTCGCCAGCCTGTTGCGACCCAACTCCAGTAACAAGTTAGCAAGTGTACAATCGTCAGCACAAGTCCAAGAAGAAGAACAAATCGAACAAGGCCAGCTTTTTTGGCGGAATTGAGTCGATATGCCAAGTGACTTACTTTGGCTAATCTAAAAATTTTAAATACTCCAATAACATCGCTGTGCGCCGAGTTCCCGAATAATTCAAAGGGAAACCAGCTTAAGAAATCCGGCAAGGCCCATCCACTAAGCAAATAATTGGTGGCAGTTTGCTTGGGTCCAGAAATGAGATTTCCATGTTCATCCGCATAAGAGGAAAACATCCGCGCAAAGAAATCAGCTGCAAATACTACCGACTCCAACGAGCTGTAGTATTTTAAAAACACCGACGAATATCTGAACCCAAGGGTAAGAGGCGTGAAGACAAGATCAAGTATGATCAGAACAATAACCAACAGATCCCATATTGTGCGGTATACTGAGTCATGGCGAAGCGTAAATCGGCTAACATCTCCTTCAAGCTTTCTTGCAGACATAATTTCCTCCGGTGTAATACCCGGTTCTACGCATTCGTCTAGATTTTCTGTCGATTGTCGGAGTGTCAAGCTTTGAGAACTGGGCATATCAATTGAGCTAACAGAAAAGCGCCGACTCAGCAAGTCCCGGTCTCCTGAACCCAGCTTCGTCAGCTTCGGCGCTTTGATTGCGGGTGATATTTTGCTCTTTCGAGCTGAATATGGCAGCCATATTTTGGACGAGATTTGCGATCTCGCTTGTGGTATGAAAGCTTGACTTCCTTCCTTCTTCGAAAGCCACTCGGACGACAGTGCTAAGTCCGGAACAGCCATTGGCATACTCAACTTTTTTATTTTTGGGTCTTGAATGGAACCAGATTTTGAAAGCTGAGGCAACGTGTGCTCTAATGTACGATCTTCTTCTGCTCCAATCGTTGGTTGAAGGCTTGGAAGATTCTGCGGAGATTCGTTTTGGGAACCAGCGAATCCTGCGGAAGAATCAATTGGCGTTTCGATCAGCTTTCTTTCCAGCGCTGGAATCGAAGGCGACGCAGCATTGCTGAGACGCTGATTGTTGGTTAAACTATTAACCGATGGAGTCAGTGTGAGCATACTGTCTGACGCAGTATCACTATGACGTCGATGCTTTAACTTCTTCTTTACTGTTATCTGTGAAGAAGTATCCATTTTCTCTGTTAAAGCTAAAAGCAAGTCAACAAATTATTGATATCAAACCTGATGCTGTCTATACACCAAAGAAGTCAGCTCGCGTAGCATACTGTTGACTGTCAGAATACTGTTTTGCATCTCGTCAAGACGCACTTCAAATCGCTCAAATTCTTCGCGACTAATTTCTTCGTGATTTAGAATTTCATTTTCAGTCGAGGATAGATAGTCAAGCATTCGGCTGCTGCTGTCAGGCTTTGAGGATCAAACAGGCACATCCACCTGGAAACGAAATTAGTTATCGTACTGCAGGTATTTTAAGCAAAGTTTGACTCTGCTATTAATAATAGGCTGTTAAGTTAACAAATATTAAAAATTGATTCTTACATTTCAGTCATTACTTATAGCGCACTTTAGATTGCATGTACTTATTGATTTCACGTTCAAGAATCTCGGTTTGAGTTGGATATTGTTCTTTTACACTATCGAGATCCCCACGACACAATACGTGAATTTGAACCCAAGTTAAAGCCACGGCAGTAGTCGAACGCTTTGCACGCTGTAAAAGTGCCATTTCACCAAAATAATCTCCTTTCCGAAGGATTCGGATGATTTTTCGTGTGTCAGTGGTCGGATCAAGTACACCTACAGATCCTTTGGACCCAATAAAACCCATCCAATCGCCAAATTCACCTTTGCGTATCAAGACGTCATCCTGCGTGTAAATGATCGTTCGCAAGTGCAGAATAAGCATTTCAATAACCGCTGGCGCAAGTGTCTTAGCCGATAAGAATGGAATTTGCTTGAGCATATCGCGATAGAGCTGAAATTTGACTTCGCATATTAGTGCAGGAGAAAGTTCATTAATGAATGCGTCAGCATCACTACTGATACTCTTAGTTTCTCGCCACAGATTCTCGTAGTATCCACGAATACGCTTGGTGAGTTTATCTGAAATGCCCAGAAATTGACACCGTTCCGACGTTGAGATAATTTTTTTGTTGTACGCCGTCTCATCTTCGTCAAGAGACGAAATGAGCACAGCAACAGAACCAAAGACACTGGCTTGAAGAACATTACCGATTAGCATGAAACAAGCCACTGAGATCTGTTCAATTGCAGTATACATTGCAGGGGGGCTTGCGTTCAAGCAGCCAATTACTAGCGACCAGCACAAGACGTACTCGTCGAACAAAGATTGCGGAACAAATGTATAATCATCAAGATGAGCACGCCAACCGTAGGCCACCCAGCTCCAGTAGCACGCCAGCAAATGAACAATGGTCAGAACGATGCTTAGCAGCAGAATGAATCGTAAGATACCAGCCTTTTTGGCGGAGTTGAACTTTCGTGCTACATGACTCACTTTCACAAGTCGGAAGATTTTCGTGAAACTAAGCACTCTTCCTTTGCTTGAAGACGCAAGCAACTCAAACGGAAACCAGCTGAGAAAGTCGGGAATAGCCCATCCACTAAGTAGATAATTCGTAGCTGTCTTTTTGGGCCCCGAGATGAGATACCCGCGTTCATCGGTGTAAGACGAGAAGATGTGGACAATAAAATCAATCACGAAAAGAATTGTGCCACAGACATTTAAACCATCCATATAAACTGGAGTGATGTGAAACCCGAGCGCGAGTGGAGTCAAAATGACATCAAGGAGAATCATGGCCATAATCAACAAATCCCAGGCATAGCGGTATGGAGATTCATGGTACAGTGTGAACTTATCAAGTTTTCCTTCAAGGTTTCGAGCTGATAGAATGTCCTCTGGTGTGACTGCTGCATCTGTACGCTGACCAACGGTGAACAAGCTATTAAGTCGCTTCTTCGTTTTGTTTTGAATATCCAACGTCAAAGAAATGGAGAAGCGCCGTGTGACCATATCCTCCTCAATCAATGCACATGTATTTTCTTGATCAGATGACACCGTTGCTGGTGCATTTGCATCATTAGGTGTCATCGTTGTTGCTGTCTCACTCGAGGCATCCGCTTGATTTTTTTGAAAATCTTGACTTCGAATGAGGGCCTTCTGAAATGCCATCAATTTATTATTCAGAACAACAAGCCCAAGCTTTTTCTTTTTTAGGCCATCAAGTGGGGGGAAACTTGTTAAAGCCGAATTGGATCCTTGCATCAATCCAATACGACTCTTATGAACATTTGTTTGTATTTCTGTCCGAGTATTAAAGCGAGAATTTGAAGTAGCATAATTTGTATCGAGATAATCTGATGAACTCAAAACCATAGGAGCAATGCCATTTTCTACCAAAGACTGAAGTGATGAGCTCTTGGCCAAAACTGTTAAATATGAAGGTGATGCTTCATTAAATTTCTGGTTTATATAATTTGAAGAATTGGATGTCTAAGGTACAGCATGTGAGAATTGAGAGCCACGAGATATGATATCGTTCGCGATGTACCTGCAGTTGTTGGCATAAAAGTGTGGTCAAGTCCCCTATCATCTGATGAGTGACTTGAATATCAGCTTGCATTTGATCAAGTCGGTTCTGTAAGCATGCTGATTTTCGTAGTTGGCCTCGATCGCCAATCTCACTCATTGTCTTTCTAATTTCCCGGTCCGTTGAATGTAGCTCTGTGGTCGCTTGCTCGTCATTCATCGTTCTTTCGAGCGTGTGGACTACAGCCGAATAGAACGCAGAAACGCAGCAGGTTGCAACGGGCAAACATGAAAATACGAAACCAACGGAAGACAAAAATGGATACAGTTTGGAAGTCAGTTTTTGAAGTAGCATTGATTTCTATTCTAATCGACATCTAAATTACCAGTGCCATTTGCTACCAACGCTCAGTCCCCGACGTCATGTACTTATACTTCGTAATTTCTTTTTCAAGAATCCCCGCTTGAATAGGATACATTTCTTTCACATTGTCGAGATCTTGGCGACAAAGGACATGTATCTGCACCCATGTTAGCGCTACGGTCGTCGCGGATCTTTTTGTGTATTGCAGGAGCGCCATCTCCCCAAAATAGTCACCTTTTCGGAGAATGCACATAATTTTACAATTTTCGGAGTTCGGATCCAATACACCAACACTTCCTTTGGATCCGATGAATCCCATCCAGTCTCCAAACTCCCCCTTTCGGATAAGAACATCATCTTGCATGTATATGACCGTGCGAAGATGCAGGACAAGCACCTCGATTACAGCAGGATCCAGTGTTTTTGCTGACAAGAAAGGAATGCGTTGAAGCATATCGCGATATAGTTGAAATTTAACTTCACAAATTAGCGCGGGGGATAATTCGTTAATAAAACCATCGGCGTCAGCACTGACGCTTTTCGTTTCACGCCATAAATGTTCGTAGTATCCACGAATGCGTTTTGCAAGATCTTCTGGAATACCAAGAAAGCGACACCGCTCCGTCGTTGTGGTTATTTTTTTGCCAAAGGCTGCCTCATCCTCATCAATTGAGGAAATAAGGGCAGCCACAGCACCAAATACGCTTGCTTGGAGAATGTTACCCACTAGCATAAAGCACGCGACTGAAATTAACTCGATGGGCGAGTACATGATAGGAGGACTGGCATTGACACAGCCAATGACGAGCGACCAACAAAGAGTGTACTCATCAAACAGAGTTTTTGGAAGAAACGGTCCTTCGTCTAAGTGAGCTCGCCACTCAACAGCAACAAAGCTCCAGTAACAAGCTAATGAATGTGCAATGACGAGAACAAGTGCTAACAGCAACACGAATCGCAACACGCCTGCTTTCTTGGTCGAATGAAGTCGATAGGCGAGATGGGTTACTTTGGTCAGTCGAAAAATTTTGGTAAATCCGAGAGCGTCACCGTGATTGATATTTGCCAAAGCACCAAAAGGAAACCAACTGATAAAGTCTGGAATGGCCCAGCCACTAACAATATAATTTTTAACTGTATGTGTTGGACCAGAGATAAGGTCCCCGTGTTCATCGACGTAGGTCGAGAACATTCGCACGAAAAAATCAATTGTAAAGACCACAGGCTCTAAAATATTAAATCCATCGAGAATCTCAGACTTGTAATTAAAACCTAACGACAAAGGCGTGAATACGAGGTCGAGCACAATGAGCAGCATGACAAACACGTCCCAGACGCTTCGTTTTTGCGAATCGTGGCGAATTGAATACGGATGAACAGTCCCTTCTAGGTTGCGAGCTGACAATATTTGCTCGGGTGACACAGTAGCATTTCGCGATTTCTCATCAAAAAGATTATTCTTCCGTTTTTTTATTGTGCTCACTTTTTGAGCTAGATTCATGGAGCTGACGGAAAATGTACGAAAAACTTCATCGTTTTCTCTAGATGATCTTTCAGCTTTTAATTTGCCTGAATGCGCGAGTTTCATGATTCGGCGCTGCAGTGGTGTTGGCTGCTGATCCGATTCTGCGCTGACTTCAAAAGAATTTTGAAGTGTCTCAGGTACAGAGGTGAGATTCGTGTTCATTACTTTTTTGGAAGCCGCAGAATTTGAAGGATTTGTGGCTGTAGCAGTAAAGGCGTCTAGCGCGCTATTGATCGCTTTCGGTATCTCGGGTGGCACAAGCCGCAACGCTTCAGTTGCACCCGTTGTGCCCACTAAAGGTCCATTCCTAAATACATTCAAGCCTTTAGGTGAGCCTCTTTCATTCACATTCCGACTTTTGTTCTTGGATAATGTGCTCTATAGAAATCCACAAAATCAGAAACTAAATAGCTGTTGCCTTTAAACAATAGCTACACCTTATGCTGTCGCTGTATTAATGTGTTTAAGTCGCGAAGCATTTGATGTGTTTCGATTTGAAATTGCTCAAGCCGATCTTCGATCAAATTCAGTCGGTCTGAGAGGTTCATGTTGACTTGTTCAAGTTGAGGCGGATCTCGTTGCTGCACCGTGTCAACAACATCGCAGTTCATCGCAGTATAAATTGACGATTAAGCTCCAACGATTGGTTACAAGTGTTCGCGACCGCTCAAGCAAAGAATTGATCTAAGTAAGATCCACATTCAAAATTGCCGGATGCTAGAGGCCAATTCCTCAAGAAAATCGAATGTCAATGACCATCCGTTTAACAAAATAGATGATTTAAGAGCGGCAATAGATGCCAAGCTCCATGAACGAGGAATCTACGAACAAATCCGAGAGCTGGTGAATGCAAAAGCATCAAAAGTATCAATTGATGAAAATGAGAACCAACCGAATAGTGAGGAAAAAATTTTCAACAGTGAAACAGCAGATTCGAAAGAAGAGCAAGTTATCCACGAAGTTTTGGAGAGTGAACTCGTTCAGCAGCTATTGCTTAAACTTCGGTCGATGGAGTTTGCAGCCCCTGAAAAGTTAATCGAGCAAAGTGATGAAAGTGCTGTTGGAGTAGAAGACACACGAGAAGTTGTTCTTTACTTGAGGCTGTCTGAAGGAAAGGCATTCGTCGATCAAATGGTAGATTTTGAACATAATGACGGGAACACGAACGAAGAAGTAGAATTAGGTTTGAAGGACAATAGGTGCCCTGTTGGTAGTGTTGTGGCCTTTTTTCGCGTGAATGCTTCGTTTCAGAAACAACGTCAAAGCTCTCACGATATCCAATGCTGTGTAGATCCTACTTTTGATGCGCACTTTCGTTTTCATGTGAAAAAGAGGAAATCTCGTACTGCGAGAAGTCGAGACAGATCACATTTTGCAGTTGACGTCATGTCACCATGGGAAGCGTTATGTTTCATAGAGGAACCGGTACAACTTGATCTGGTAAAGGTCAGAAAAAGGTTTTTACGAAGAGATGATAACGGTATTGCTATCTGGCAAGAGCTTTCGCGGGAATTGATTGCAGTTCATCGCCTTGATTGGAGACGAATTTTGTGCTCGACTCTTGAATTTGTACACTTTCCCATTCAGCTTACCGGAAGGATGAAAGAACCAGTCGGAACGTTAGACCTTCGTGCTAATTTGTTGAATTGTAAACGAACTGCAAGTATTGCTCGCGAAGTTCGGTCATTTCTCAATAAAGAGGCTCTTCAGCGCAATGCAAGCAATCATACCTTTTTCAAGTACGCAAAACAATGGTGGGAGGACTACCGAAATGAAACACGTGAAGACATTAATGGACCTGACGACGGATCAGTGGATGAGCACGTACAATCGCTTGCAAAAATTGATTTTCGACAACGTCTCGTCAAGATGTTTGCCGAAGACGAAGAAGGTCGTTATCGTATGATGTGCAAATTTATCGTGCCCTTACGTGCTCGCAAAGCCGTAAGAAGCCCAAGTGAAGCTGCTCGCTTTGTTTGTTTGCTCCCGTACGAGTCAAACTCACTTGCTGGAGGTGGAAATGATGAACCGTGGCGATCAATACCGACGATATTATCAACTCGAAAAGGTAACGCTCAAGACCATGCGGTACGTTTTGTTTTTATATGTAAGCAAATATTGCCTATAACTTCAGATATGTCAGATTTTGCTTGCATCGCTACTTTTAGGCTGCGGTCTTGACGCATACATTTGCATCGGCACCATTTCTGCATGTAAAAGTGCATCACGCTTTACACGAGGATCTCAGGACAGCAATGACGACCGAGGATTGGCAGAAGTCGGCCATGTTTGGGTACTCACGCGAGGAACCTGGTAAATCGAAAGTTATTCTCTCATTTGAATAGATGGAAAAGGCTGACAATGATACAATATTCAGCACTTCGGACGTATTTTTGTGGGAGGCAGTGACGGGTGAAAAGTTTTGCGTGCATGATGCTCGAGCTCCCAAACGACGAGGTTACTGTGCCATAGATTGTGTCTTCAACCATCGTCGATACTTTGCAAATCTGCAGCCTCGAGCGTGTAAGCTTGCTGAGTCTTCGTTTGACTTTGATGACGAAACGTGCTGGAAATGTATGGACGAAAATCTTATCGCTGATCTTCCGTTTAAGCAACCGCAGACTGCTTTACTGCCTCCCGATGTAATCTCAGCTAGCCGGCAAGAGGACGAATGGACGGTAATATTGCAGCGAGCAATCGCGTCTCGCCGAAGAGATGACGGTTTTATGACAGTTTGGAGCGATGAATTGAGCTTTTACCTTCTGCCAGCACTCAATTCGTACGAGCTGGAACGTTTGTATGAAGTCACTCAAGTTGACAATATTTTTTTCCGGCAAAGTGTGTCCAATTTCGTCCAGGAAGGTTACACATTTCAAGGTGTGCCCTTAGTGTTTACCTTTGAATCCCCAGACGAAGCTTTAGATATTTTCATGTCCAACACGCTTGTCTCTGACATTCTGACCATTCACGCTCGATCGGCGCAATTTGCTATCGCTGTTCGTTGTTTTCCATATGCTGAACACACGGTTGCTACGTGGGTCATGCTAGCTGTGAGTTATCCGAGCAAAAATTAAAAAAAATGAGTTGTTAATTTTATGGAGCGACACAAATTGTCATACACTATTCAGCTATTCAGAGCCCATCCGTGAAGCTTAAGTGATACTTCATTCTCCACCTCGATGATTGCTACGATGTGGTGTCAAGTGAGCTGCATTGCAAATTAGTGGGCTTTGAAGAGTCGGTAGTATTAGCGTGAAGGTAGTGACGGCTTCTGCTCGCAACGTCACCGCTGATCATATTGAGCTAAATTGCAGACAAGCCGTAGAAGTGCCGCATTTCAAGTGAAAATTTCTCGAAAGGGCGTTGACCAAATTTGTTATGACGCCTTCGAGAATCTATCTACTGCTACCGTTTGATTGCAAAGGAGGCTCGCATTAATCATTGCTATCAACAAATGTCTGATGTCTCAACCGCCGCGTCGAGGGTCCCCTCTGTTCGCGGCCAACCATCTCTATTGCGCACATTTACTGCATTTGATATTGACCACCGAAAGATTTTGCCTTTCAGAAATCCTTTCGTGCAAGTTCACGGCTCCGCTAAACGTTATGGATGACACATATTCTATACTTTATGTATGCCCACGAATGCTCCAACACCCTTAGAGCTGGATAAGTTGCTTAGAGCTGCTAGCTTTAGTAGGACCTGAAGTCAAGCTTTACCAAAAAATGCGGAGCACTACAATTGCATGCAGTATTTCTTTTCAATAACAGATTACACTAGTTATGTTACATATTTTTGATAAAGATGATTATTATATATAGCACAATACAAGTAAAATGACTTCTAAAGAAATGAGTGCTGGGAGCCTCGAGACAAAATCAAATGAAGGCCTATTGTCGCTGGAAGAAGTGTCGATTATGATCCAGGTTCGTACTGCTGTAAGCTGGCGCGAGATGTTACAGCCTCATATTCGTGCCCTATGTAGAAAATGAGAGAAGAACAAACCTCGTTTTTTGATCAGCAGCGTGATTTGATCATTCAGCAGGTTCTGGAGCGCATTCACAAATCGGGTGTGTATATTGCTAAACCTTCTACAAAAAATAAAGCAATCAAAGGTTCGTCGTCTACTTGTCGACTCGAACAAAGCTTAAGCAATCTTGTTCATCATTCTCTTGCTGAATGTGGATTCGACCATCCTCACGCGCAAGGCACTGCATACTCATCAAGAGAACAACTTACAAAAGATAATAGCAAAGAGGGAGCTATCGAAACTTATAAATACAAAAAATACAAAAAGGATGGAGATTTTCGATCGAAATCTAAAAGTCAACAAGAACATGAGGATAAACACCAAGATCTTCTAACTCCAAGTCAACAGCTAAAAAGTTCAATTTCAAAATCATCATTAAAGAGTATTTATCGGAAAAAAGGAATACCAGAATCAAAGTGGCGAGATAATCGACGACCTAGTAGTTTAGATGCGAGAAATGAAAGTCGGGCTCAATTGAATTTGACCGACAAAGATTCTGCAGGTTCAATTGAAACTATCGAAATTGCATTTGCAAATGTACGAGATAAAGTGGATCCGAAGACTTTGGCAATTCTTCATCACTCCGAGATGCTTCTCGACCAAGTTAAACATACATCGATGACGAACGTAGGGACTACCAGCTTTGTGGAGAAACTACGACAGCGACAAGCTAGTGCCGACTATACAGCAGATGATTGTTATAGACTCGAGAAGGACGGCGAAGATCAAAGGCCCTCTGAGAAACGAGTCAAAATGCCATCAGAAATATCGGAAGAAAACTTGAAATATGATGCAACTGCTAAAAGCGAGATCGATAAAGTATCTTTCGATAATATCCGTTGTGACATGGACCTCTTACAGCCTCATTGTAAACCACCTGATAATGATAAAGAGTGGGAAAATGAATTAGCACGGCAGATCTTGACTATCTATGCAACTTCCGTGAAAGCACTTGAGAAGTCATCTACTTATAGCTTGGAAAAGAGAAAAATGATGGCCTTAAATTCTAGCTTGTCGAACAATGCTGATGGAAAGCGGCAGGTTCAGACTTTTGGAAAAGAAAAAACAGCGACAGATCGAAGACTTTTAAAACAGTCGAGCTTGCTCCCTGCGATTGAGAAAAAAGGAGCTGTAAAGTTCTCAAATCGGCGCGCTTCCCCCTTCTCAGCAGCTATATGCCATTCATGGGAGCCGTCTCAGATTCGAGATGACGGCAAAGTTATCATTAATATGCCCAAAATACCTCGACCGATCTGGTTTGCCGGCACTGGCGCTGTTAAGGCAGTTTGGTGTGCGCTCGCTAATGGACTCGCCGAATTGCGGCCTCAGCACACAAACACAACAACAAATTTATCTACAACGTCCATGTGTGAACACCAATTATGTGAGGAAGTTCGACAACTAGAAGCAAAAAAAAAGTTTGCGCACTGCATCTCGATCCTTGAATCGCTCTTAACTTCTTTAATTCGATCTCATGGAGCCGACAAACTGGAGACGCAACTTTGGAAACAGTTGGTTGTGACTTGTAATGCTTTTGCAAGTCGATGCATCGATTATCGAAAATTTTCAGCTGGCTTGCAGTTGATGAAGCAGGCAGAACATCTGATTGACAACTCCATTTTGGTAAGCAGTCCCATGCGAATGGAACTTTTGGCGTATCTTTACGACACCTATGCGCATTACTATTACAGACGCCGCAGAACACACGCGGGGCTTCAGTACATTATGAAAGCTTATGACATTCACTGCAGACAGAAAAGCTGGTCTCATCTTGCCGTATGCAGACTTCACATCGCAAATCTTTTATCATTCCAACTCAAGCACACAGAAGCAGTAAAACACATGGCTTGCATCCTCAAAATGATTGAAGAGAATAAGTTGGATGCGACATCCGGCAGGGCACTTAACAGCGACTCAGCTCAAAAACTTTGTCTGGCGGCAGTGTGCTACAACAATCTGGCTGTTGAACAGCTACATATGCGCCAGTTTGAAGCAGCAAGCGTGTCATCTTCAAATGCTCAACGACTTGCGAAATTATGTTTAGGCTATAGTAATCGCTGGCTCCAGCAGTTTCAGGCAACGAGTAATTCTGTCAACTTGGCAATTGCAACTCTCATGGAAGATAACAACACCAGTAAAATGTTATCACTCGAACCAGAAGCGAGAAAAGATTGTGTTTAATAGAAATCAAAGTTATAAAATAGGTTGATCGTTTTTGGTTAGGATTTTATCCATCAGCTAAATCAAAATGTGTTAGAACTCCTCCTTCATCTCGGAATATGCGAGCAACCTATTATCATTTCTCGTCACTTGAGCACTTAACCACATTGTTTAATTTAGAATTTGACTTACTTCTTGCAAAATGGAATGTCGGGTTGGGTCATCTAGCGCCAACTTTTTCTGACTGGGTCCATTAAGAACGCTGGATCAGAACGAGATATTCAAAGAAATCTGTCAAAATCAATACAAACCTCGATTGGGCAAGATCGTGCGCATGTTTGATGGATTTACGTAATTCTAGCAGGTGATTTGAAGCAGCTACAAACCCATGACTTGATTCGGCGAGCTACAATATCAAATACAAAAGGGTCACTATACCATACACAGATTAATGATATTATTGTCTGGTCGACTTGAACCTGCAACATCTCGCGCTTTGCGTTCCAGTCTTCGACGTACGCGAGAAATAACTCTTGATCAAGAAACTTGTCAAATTCCAGCTTTAAGGCACTAGAGCAAACCATAAACGCATCCTGCATGAAGCAATAAAATCATGAGATGAAAATTTTCCTTTTATCCAACCTGTCACGTACATTTTGCGCCGCTTGCTCGAAAAGAACCAGTTGTGATAGAAAATATTGTGCATCTTGGAGAACACTGAAAGAACATAAAAGTATTAATTATACACTTTAAAACGATTTCGAGACCAAGTTTGCTTTCCTGTTATAGGTAGTATCCCCATCTTGTAGCTTTGTAGCAGCTTGCACAAAAGTCTTGATATTGTCACATTCAGCTTTCGAGAACGTGCCACCTGTGGGCTGCACTTGCGCATGTCTGTCTGACCACAACCAAATAATTATACAAGCAATGGCACAGGTGTTCCAATATTCCTATTCGCAACGTACGCAGTAGTAATGGTCCTGCAGATTTCAAAGTGTGGCAGTAGCATCTTCGACATGGAAGCCTCAATCATCTGAATATCATAATACAACTGTTTCACCTGCTGCAAATTTTCGTCTGCACAACAGCATTCCGTGTAACTGATATCAAAATTTTGAAACATTGACAGATCACCAACCTTCTACGGCTAACTTGAACTCAGCAGTCAGCTGCTCAATTACATTCTGATACTGCAAAACCCGTTTGAAGTGCGAGTTTTGAAGCACTTGAACCGCCTCATCTAGAAATTTTGTCAAATACTCCATTGTACTTCAGTTAGATTGTAATGCGGACAAGCACAACTCAACACGCTTCACTCACGAGCCGTTTTTTAGTCAAGGTAGCGCACATTGCCGCGTCTTGAGCAACTGCGACCTTCAAAGCGTCGAAGTGATTGGACAGCATATCTAATGACTGGTGTAGTTTAGACGGCATTTCCAAGCCTACAGTTAATCGAGTAAACTCTTGTAGAGCACTTAGAAATAATCCAAGCTCCTTTTCACCCAAGAATAAGGGCACGTTCGTCACGAGGCGCTCAAGACGACTGGAAATGCGTGTCAAATCGCTTGTGATTTCGGAGTCTGACCGCGACATTGAGGTGATGGCAGCGTGCGCGGAAAGCGCGTGCTGCACACTTTGCAGATCGTGTATGACATCTTGCAAGCAAAATACGATGTTGCTAAGGGCGAAGCGATGCTTGTGCACAAGTAACGTCTCGAACTCGCGTACCAGACCGGCGATAGTTGTCATGTTGATTTACACAATTATCTCAAAAGTATCTTGGACGATAGTTGATTGGCCAGATAAATGTGATAAACTTGTGATGTGACACAGCTGTCAATATTGGCTTAAAATAATGAAGCATCATGACTAGTGACTTTGGACGTAAAACAGTTGGACACGTAAGCTTGTTAGGTTCGTATTATTGTGTAATAGGTAATGAAATACATAATTAAACAGTAAATCCTAATTAAAAATGCATCACTAGTGGCTTCTTGCAATGGTGTAGCCACGCCATTGTGTGGTCACACCATCTTGTGTGACGCATCCCTTTAACGCCTTTAACGAGAAGAGTTTATGACATTTTCATTACGAGTTTTCCAGAGATTCTAGAGATTAGTTTATTGCACAAAATTTGCTGTATCACCATCAGAAAATGGGAGGCTTAAGACCCAAGAAGTGCCCTCGGCGATTCGCACTTGCATTTTGAGCATTTGCTGACTCATCACGAAGTTCTGGCCCGAACATATGATCAGAAGCATATGATAAAAGCTACCAACTCATCATGAAACCGTCAATAAATCGAGTCAAATTATTACTGCTATTTAGAAATAAGCAATGCAACGAAGAGATTGACTGAACCAGGATGTAATGTTCATAGTTCTAAGCGATGATTAACACGTCGAAACAAGTTGGAGATGCAGAGTATGAAAATATCTCGTGTTTGCAAAAAAATAAAATAAAAAAATTAGTGTTGGAAATCAATTAATCTACTACAGTAAGTGTCATCGTTCCACCAGTTTGAAACCAAATTTATCGAACGAAAGATGCAGCTCTCTTATCGCACGATCGGCAAGAATCACTTACATGAATCCATAAGGGGTTAGTGATAAAGCTTTACGAGAATCATTGGCTTTTAGATATTGATGATACTGCGGACGGTTTGACTTAATGAGATGAATGTCTAGTTTGACATCCTCAAGCGTGGGCGGATTTTGATGGTGTGTGGGTATACGTAAACGATAGGTCGACGTAACATCCGAACTTGCTATATGACAAAACTAACCATTACGCTCCCAATCAGTTAATTCAATAAATCCTAGATATTGAGTGTAAATTTCATCTCCCGTTCTGAACCTGTGTGCACACTCTCGAGCCCCTTTCCGCCACTTATGGTCTTGTTCATCACTTCCTCGTAAACTGATGAAGAAATCATTTCTACAAGTTCGTCCTCACTGTCACTCATGCTGTAGATTTCATTTAAACGCATGGACGTGATTTCATTGATCTTATTCATTTGCGGGTGAGTCGACGAATCCTGAACAAGAACCGCGACATTATTTGTAGCGAGACTAGAATCTGAACTTCCGATTATATTGGTCGCTCCATATTTCGGCGTTGTGATATCTCTCAAATTTGCGGCATAAAGATTTGCAGTTGTAGACTTTAATGTAGGCGCATGGGTCTCGGCCACGCTATAGTACCGAGAAGATGGAGCTGGAATCCGATCCAACACTAATCGTCCACCACGACCAATACGTGCACGACATCGGTATCTGGGCGATTGCTGAAAAATTGTCGCGATAAATCGAGGTGGAGAGAGAGGGTATGATGGGAACACAGGACCGCGCAAATCACGCGGTGAGCTGTCAGTGTCCGTCGTGTCTTCCATCACAAAATTTGCTGATGTGTCATATTCCATGAATGAAGGCGCAATCTGAGGCCCTTCTACCACTCCAGCCTTGTCCAATTTTGAATTTGCATGACCAGCTCCTGCAGCAAGAGCAATGTTCGCGTTATCACTTGCCATTCTGCCGTTCTCTCCATCACGATGTTTCTTTTTCTTCTTCTTTTTCTTCTTGTGACGGTCGCGCTCTTCATTTTTCGGAATAACTGGCTTCCTTATGACAGCATTTGATCCACGGTTTACAAGTTCATGCTCTGCCTGACGTCGAATTTCATCGAGAAAGTCTAATTGCAATCGTTTTGCTCGTTCTCGACGTCGTACGAGTTCCAACAACCTGCGCACGCGTTCAAAATCAACACGAAGCTGCTGCAGCTTACGAAGTCCCTCAAGGTCGTTCTTGCGGTGCTTTCGCAACTTGTATCGCTCCTTTTCACGTGGTCGAAACACTGCATGAGGATTTGTATCATTCAACGGAGTCTGAGGCCAAAAACGACGTAGCAAAGGACGACGAAGCTTCTGTCGCTTTGCAGCCCAATACGCATACACGTCACATGTTACGCGGTTAAGTGGCGTCTTGTACATATTAAGTCGCTTAGCAAAAACATCTTCAGCTTCAGCCAGAGTCATAACGTTCGGGTTTAGTAATGCTGATGCTTTTTCTAGTGCATCCAGCATCTGAGCGAATCTTTCCTGTGATAATTGATATCGAGGGTCTCCATCTAGACCGTACTTAGGGTGACGTCGAAGCCATCGCATGTCTTCCACATCTAAATCTACTTCGACATTCTGGAGCTCGGGACCAAACGTATCTAAATCTACAGCATGTTCATCTCGCGGCAAAGGTTGAAACCGAACATATGACGTCGGTATATCAAAATCTGCAGATACTGAATTGTCATATGTTGACACCGGCAAAATCACGGGTATAGGAATATCTTTCTTCTTGCGTTTAGATTGAACTACAGCCCGCTGTCGAGCTTCCAGATTCTATATTCAAATTCACATTAATTTAGACAATTATATTCAAAGTTATAACATGATCCAATGAATTTCGAACCGCCACGAGCTGCTGAAACGATGTTTGCGGCTGAGTGGCACCCGCAGCGCCATCATCGTCAGCTTCCAGATCCTCTTCCTCACGGATAATTCGCATGCGCGCATGGATATCGATCTGTCTCGGCCGCAAACTCGAGCGCCGCATCAGTAAAAAAGACAAAAATGCAATTTCCTCCCCCTAAAAATGGGTACATGGTACCACAGAATGAATGCTGGTTTGCAACTCATAAAAATAAATTTACAAAACAGAAGCAGAAAGCATAGCCCTTGTTTCAACACCATAATATGCACAAAGGACTTTGACTATAGAGGGCCTGGACACTCACTGCGAAAACCACAAGCATATTGGATGCAGAGAAAGCTGCGTTTTCGGTGACGCCAATCAGTAATTATTTCTAGCGTTGCTAGAGATGATGACAACTGTTCCAAAATCATGCTAATCATTCCATTATTGTAAATGTCGAAGTTGTCTCTCCGAGTCTCAGTTTCGATCTTACTGTAGCCCTTAAGTGGTAGTGTGGCTTTGCGATCAGAAAAATCTACTTCATCATTGCCATCACTACACGTTGGTTTTATTTAGGAGTAGTTAATATCGTCTAAAATTAATTTTCTATTTGGACAATGTTGAAGAAGGTTATCTGTATCACTCATGGGGACCAAAGTATTAGTGCTGATGAGGATGATAGGCTCCGTGTAATGAGGTCTGTTAGATACATGGGTTGTTCGCCTCAGGTAAAGCAATACGAAGGTCACCGACCTTAACCAAGCTTCCTCTAAGCAAAGAGCTACGGCAGCCCCGCTGCACTTGATAGCCCTTGTAGTAATCTACACCTGAGCCGTAACGACTGACCCGTCGTAAGGATGGAACAGATTTTTTATTTACCCTACGGCATGCAGGACGAGCTTAAATGTTGATGTCTCTGCTTGGCCTTGAGAGAGTGCAACACCTCGCTTCGAAATAGTAATACCTATATAATAAAGTAAAACCTTAGTAATATGCAATACTACTGGCAATCCTGCTTCTTGTTACGGTGAAGCCACACCACTGTGTGATTACACTAACTTGTAAAATCCACACATGTGTAAGGTCACACCATCTTGTGCGACCCACCCTTTCATACAAGGGTACGTGAAACCCGTTGATTGCAAGTCGGACAATTGCAGAGTGACAATGACTCCACGTGGGCAATTATATCGGATGTGACCGAATTGATGACTTCCATAGCAGCGAACTTGCTGTCTACGGACATTTACCGCACTAAGATCGAATGGTTTCGGATTTCCAGCAGTAGCAGCCACTGCTTTCATCAGGATGGCCGATTGACCACGTGACAGTAGTCTTCGAGCAAATCAATTATAGTTGCATCTTTCAGAATCGTCGGACTCTGGCGAAAGCATAGTGTCGAAGTGTAATCGAGCTGATACGATGATGATCAATAGCCCTACACCACTAAGTTCGGAGGAACCTAATGGCAGTGTCAAATGCACTCGTAACCTAAGCAAATATGCTATGCTAATGCTGACCATCGGGGCAGATTGTCAGATGGAACGCGTGATTGAACTGTGGAGTATATTCTCCGAAGCACTTGAGCAGAGAGACCGCGGTACTGAAGTAAATTCCTATCCATTCATTGGTTTTGCGTTAAATATTGCAGTACATATCGCTACACCCTACAATCTGGTTCTAAGGGCATCTTCGACGTCGGAGTGAACCCGATCCTGTGCTGCTAAATGGGCAAACCGAAAGCGCGAATCGCGTATCTTCAAGAAGTATGCAGAAGTACTTGTTTTTTGCAAACGATGGACATCCGCGGATTGTATTGCGTGGACCCATGACCAGAGTCGAGTGTCGATTGTCGATTGTCTGGGCGGAGTTTATATTGGATTGCTGTGTGTACGATACATACATGAGACTTCGTGGTTCTTTTCCAGCACGTGTAATCGTCCGAATGGCGCGGAAATACGTGGTTCAAGTCATCACTCGAGCTCTCATTCGATTAAAGAGTTCGTCAAACCCTAAGGTGGCACCACACGTCGGTCGCAAAATCTGTGACGATAATAAATTTCACGGTAGCGCAGATACACTGGACGACTGAAGCCTCGTCAATGAGTCTGTCATAATATTCATCACCTGGTCAAGCTGGTCGTTTGTTGCCAGGTTGGGCTTAACGTGCAAATTGGCTGTTCGACGTGAAAGTGGGGGATTTTCCAAGTCTGATGGTGGGCGAAGGCGCCTTCGCATCTTCGCATTGAGGTGCGGTTTTGTCCTTCGCTCGTCGTCGGCGCAAGTTGGCTTCGATGCTTCTTATTTCTTGTGGGGTCACAAATCAAAGAGTCTTAGAGTTGAAGAAAGGTTAGAGAGAATCGGGGAATAGCCCCGTTTGAGTGGGAAATGGTATAATGAGACCAGTCCCATTACACATGTTATGTGAATCACATATTTCTGTGTGTGGCTGAGATTAACTATATATCCTGCATAATTATATGTCGCTCAAATTCGTTAAATCAGTATTGAAGGAACTCATCACTTTAGGATGGTTTAAGGCCAATTGGTCATAAAATATGCCATCTCAGCTTTTCGTCCTCGTTCATGCGACTCAACGATTTGCTCTGAGTGAGCAACACGCGGTAGAGCTTGTAAATTGATTTTAGGCTTCCTCAGAAAGTGCGTGTGTCATTCGCGTTACAAAGTTGCTCTGATTTGAAATCTCTAAATGCCATACTAGCCTGCGCGATTGGTAAAAGGGTTCTAAGCAATACTCCGAACATTGAACACTTACAATCGGCGCTTGAATGTATGCACACAAAAAAGGTACTGTATGAGGCACATGGTATGGCCACCTCGGGAGAGAAAATGATAAACTGAACGGCGGACGTTTTGTATTGGTGAATCAGCACATCTGATTGAAGTTATGACGGACGTTGTTCTGGTCATTGAGATAGAGAGAGAAAAGGAATAATTGGATACCCTCAGCGGGTCCGTCTTTGGACCCGAGTTGTACGGGAGGACGATATCTGGACAGTCGCGAAGAATGCGACTACGAGGCTCCCACGTATTATCGTTCGCTAGTTATTTTAAGCATTTCACAAAAAGATCCTTTCAGCCGCGGACGCTCCTCTCCGCCACCACGTTCTCGACGTGGTAGTATCGATTTCCATGTCTATCAAAATAGAGGAGGCATTACCTGTACTTCTTCTGTGACTACTCCACAGTCAAGGGTTAAACCCGACACTATATATTCTGGGCAACAAGAAAGCGTACGCTCCACGACACCAAGCCGGCCAGGCTTGTACTTGATATTTGGAGAAGAAAGATAATCATCTTGCTGTTGTCTGTGGGAGGTGTGGCGACGGTATTGCTGTGCGCGACGACCAAATCCCAAATGTTGGAATAGAGCAGGTTTACCCTGAATTTGACAGAAACCTACTCCGTAGCACGCAGGTTCGTGTCATGTTTGGAAAACTTCTCTGCATCTTAAAGTAATCAAGTTTAATGCAACAGCGCGCTTGAGGTCATTGGTATCAATCTAGGTATAGCAAATCCAACAGCAGAGTGCAAGCGTCACCGAGGACATGAAAACGCCTAATGGATTCTACTTTGGTCATCATGTAGGCACACCTGAACTACTTTTACAGCCTTGAAAGCCACTTCCGACGAACATTTTTCAGATCGGTAAGGGTCGTACTACGTCGGATTAACTTGCACTATACTCGCCGATAAGGCCAAAGTACTCTTTAAATTTCTTCGGAAAGTGATACTGTGGTACTGACGTATTGGTAAGGGCTTTTTTCGTTGCCGGAGATACCCGAAGACCGTGCTTTCGACTAAAAATCCAGATACAGGGCCAAAACCATCTTTTTCGATATTAAACGACAGCATATTGAAGCGCATACCCTAGGGTAAAGCTTGCAAGCCCTCAATATGGATGTCTTGAATCGATTTTCTGTGCTTCATACGATTTTGGATAGATATATCTGCGTATATAGATGCGTCTGAAACAGCTGCGTCATCATCCAGTTGATCAGTGCTTGTCTTAGACTGCCTCAGGGGTATAGGCAGCCACTCCCAGCGAATCTTACTCGGATTACTTACAGTAGTATATTTGATTCACATGACTGTGTAAGTTACCATTGACTAAGTCGAGAGCACCAAAATCATTACATCCGTCATGCCATCCCGCTTGTATATGCCGTAATGATCGATACAAATTTCTTGTTGAAATCATAAACAGTTTGCCACTTGCTGTATAACGCGCTGATGTAGAGATTAGCGCTGAGTGAAGATCTTGACTCTATCACTCTTACACACTTTATAACGGGGTTACATGTACACTGGTATACACTCAAGATGGTGTGACCGTACAAAGGTGTGAATTGCACAAGTTGGTGTAATCACACAATGGTGTGGCTAGACCGTAACAAGAAGCCATTACGTGGTGGGACTGCCAGTAGTTATGCAGATTAATTAGGTTTTGAATATTGGCGGCTCCGCCGCAAATAGAACAAATAAATACAGTTTCAATTTTAAACGAGAAAGTGTTTTGTCCTTGGTTAAGGTTTTGGGTACACTTAGGGGTAGCGGATTGTAATCAGCTAGACTCGTACTGGTTCTGGTATAGAACATAAGGTCGGTAAGCTTTCTCCAAGCAAAGAGCTACGACAGCCCCGCTGCACACTTGCCCGCATCATGCTTCAAAGCGGCTATGGCGCCGCTTTTTTTGGCAAATGTTATCTGCATGTTACTGTAGCCTCGTAGCGGGGATCTTGTCAGCAAGGTTTGGTGCTTCCATCAATTAACCGTAATATGATTTGTACTCTGTGGATCGCTTCACCCGCACATGCTTTTCAAATGCATTTAATGACAAACTAATTCAGCTCAAACCTTCCCCTGGTATAGCAAAGTTGGAATGCGATGCACGGTAGACACATCACCCGGCTGCTATACCTTCACACTCTGGCAGAAATACGCCGCTTTAAGTAAAATTGGGTCCTGGACCTTGTACTCAGGACTAATAGCCGATTCGATCTACACGTGTACGCCATGGATGCAATGACTTTCAGCCGTACCGATCCATCCCAATAGGATTGAACACTGGAAGGTTCGATAAACAGTCGCCGTTTCTGGTCCAAGCAGATGTTAGAAAGTATGGCGACTGATTTCGTGGAGACCACACATCGGGAGATTTGAATGTTTGTTAATTGTCGCGTAAAGGGTTCTTGCGCGCATTTTACCGCGTACTTAGTTTGCTCAGATCACAAGAGTATATATTATAACGTGACACGCTTAAATAGTAACTGATAATTCCGGCTAGCTATATATCATAAAGAATTTGTGATATGCGTGGCGCTTGGCTAACAGCCACGTGTTCTAAACCTCTCCTTGACGGTGTCCAATCAAATCCATCAGTACCGAGTTTTACTTGTAAAACCTCCACATCGTAGTTAAAGATAATAGCGGAATGTTTTCATGTGTGCGTACACACAATAGCGTATGCTTCACCCCCATCAAAACAGTAACCACGCTGACGTCACAAACCATCCTAGACACAGATAGCCATTGTCACAATGTATCCCGAGCGCAGACCACCCTGGTCAGAATGTTTCAGCTACACATCGTCCTGCCAACAGACAATCTCGGTCTCAAAATAATCTAATCACAGATCACCGTAGTAGCAGAGCATTCTTGTTACAGGGCTAAATAAATATACACCATAGTGTGCACTTAGGAAAATGTACATCTTCGCACACATCTAGTGTAAGCTCTAGGAGCGTCCGCCGCACCAAGCATTCGCTCCCTTGGCCGCACGGCTCGATGAGCCTCCACGAAAGACGCGATCGCTGTGGCTGACGTGTCGCCAATGTCATAAACGGAGTTTTTTGGGTGAGGCATCTGTTGACGAGCACAACCAATGTTACACAACGCTCCACTTTTGTCTTTCAAGAAGCCAAACGGCTCCGCCGCTCTTTATACGATTGGGGCATTGATGAGACTTAAACGTCTACTCACCATCGTGCAGCCCCTGTAAACCGTGCCCGTCTTCCGGAATGGGCAGTGGTAATATATCCCTTAAGTGGGCTGCTGATAAGGTCAGTTCTATCATCAATCGACACGAGATAAAATGACGAACTTAAATTGCTTCTAAGACTATAATCATGATGTGATATTTATGTCGGTATTATATACAGCTTGTCGTAAAGCTGATTTTATGAAGCATATGTCATAAGCAAATAAGGCTTGATGCTTGACTTTGCAAATTTATCTTCTCTTAACGAGTGGAGTGGATAAGACCTAATTTGACCGTGCAATGACTCGCGACATTGTCGTATTCTATGTTCGGGAAGCCTTGTTTTTGAAATAACTGCACCATTTGTATTCATTCTCTTACACGTTCTCCAAGATGAGATATTACTAGCGTGACACGCTGTTGCTCATTGTGAAGTCAAGTAAAGTGTTGACCCTGGATTGGGGTAGTTTGTCACAGAATTGAATGGACTCGTGAAGCGTATTGCGCTATACACTAGTAATTTTGATCAAGAGAATAGTGCGGTTGCACTTGTTGCCACCATCTTCTGTTCTAGCTGTATCCATCACTACCCACCTTCGTGGGCCAATACAAACCCGCACTTGTTTGAAGACGCTAGTGAAAAGCGCGTTGCGCCGTGCAAGCCAGTCAGAATTTGATGATATTAGTAACATCTGACAAGAGCTGCTATTTCTGCAGTCTTCGTCCGATGGATAATGTGCCACTCCACGCGGATCAGAAGTGCCTCGGACAAGATGCCTCGGACCTCGTCCGACCATACCACTCTTGGCATGCAGCAACTGCTTCGCAACGTGAGTAGTGCTCGGTACTTTACGTCCACTCCACGTGCATCACAAGCGTCTCTCCCTTGATGCCTCGGACCTTGGCTGACCATGCCATTTTTGGCATGCAGTGACAGCTTCAATACTTAAGCAGCGCTCAATAGGTCACGTGCCACTCCACGTTCAGCCCGCGAGCCACGCTCGAGACTCTTATCCAATACATTTTCGGTGTCATTGACCGTCCCGGTCCAGTCCGCGCCAATAGCGCCTCTACTTCCTAGCGGAGGTAGGTTCATGATTCACCAAAGCTCCGCTAGGAGACGCGCCCAAGGTCTTCGACCTCCAATCAATCCATGGTCCATGGTGTTCCAACCATGTCATACCAATAATAAGGTCATACCAATAATAAGGTCATACCTTGCATCCAAGTTTAAGCCTAAGCAACGTTCCACACTATCGAAGGCAAGAAACTTGACACTGAGTTCCACAGGGACCGTCGGCATAGTAACACAGGTCCCCGTCGCTAAGCAAAAAGTGACGATGTCACTCAACCGCGCTTCCAGCGCCTCGGCATACAGCTGACTTCCTCCGATAGTGGAGCGTCGAGCATAATTGCCCAACGCCCGAGAATCGATAAGGATTTTCAATGGCCTCTCAAAGGTCTTCACGGTCGCTTTTACGACCAGTAAGCCCGGCTTGCATTCACGTTCCTTGACCAAGGTACGGAGCTCTTCGGAGCTGGGCCCTGCTGCCCTCTACCGCTCTGAGGCACAACAGAATTCAATTCATTCCCAGTAATGCGCCCCTCGTTTCCTCGAAACAATTAGAAGCGAACATCGATTCGCCGAACCTTTTTTAGACTTACGCAGGGGACAACCAGTCCGAATGTGACGGGTGTATCCACAGACAAAACACCGTCGGGTGTTTACACGCTGCTCGGCAGCTCGGAGCTCTCTTTTATCTTTATCAGCATAGCTGAAATCCATTGACTCAGGCCCACTCGACGAGCTCTGAGGTTCTGCATTTCAACCAAGTCGTGCTGACTTACAGTTGAATTCGGCATTCAGTGCCTTTTTCAGCGCTTTTTCAAAAGAAGACGGATGCATACGAAAGACTTCCATTCTGGCTACGCCAGTGCGGAAGCCCTCCATAATGACGTTCACAGCGACAGCCTCGGGGAGAGGATCGGCTGCCATCCCGGCAATGAAAGTTCTCAGCTCTTGGACAAGTCCACCAGCTCCTTCTTGCCCTGTCTGGCGACAAGGAAACGCGATATGCCTGATGGGGCAGTGGGAACACTAGCAAAAGCTAACGCTTCAGCCCTTCCAGGAGGGGGAACGCAGCTTCAACCAAAGTACCGCACGTTAGTGAACATTCGCGCGCTCGGCTCCTGAGCTTGGAGATAGCAAGCGCCACGCGCTGTTGATCGTTATGGAACATGGCAGATGCCATAGCTCTCTTAGCCAAAGCAGGAGATTTTCTCCATCCTTACCCTCGAAGGTCTTCATATTCACCATGAGTGGCCTAGGTCGGGAGGAATTATTTGTCGAGGGTGGCGTCATGGACGCAGTCGGCGTCGACAACATCTGCTGTAGGTTCCGTAGCAAAGCATTTTTATTGCTCGAAACGCCTTTAGGCGCGCGTTCATCGCTTCGGGCACATGCGAAACAAGTTGCTTCACGCCCTCAGGGCTCAGCAGGGACATTAGCTTATTAAGCACGTCCTGTATGCCCTGAAGCAGATAGGAGTATTGCTCCATCCTCACAGAGGGCCAGTCGTAACGGCTCAGGCGTAGATTGACTACGAATGCTACCAAGTGCAGCGCGGCTGCCGTAGCTCTTTGCTTAGAGAAAGCTAAGCTAAGGTCATCAACCATACGTTCTTTCAGAACCAGTGCGAATGCAGCGAATCGCAATCTGCGCTCTCCAAGAGTATTTAAAACCTTAATATGGGTAAAAAGACTCTTCCGCTCGAAACTGAAACTGTATTTAATCGTTTTAGTGGCGGCAGAGCCACCGATATCCAAACCTTAGGTTTTCCAGTTAATATAGTAACACCTAAAAAATATAGTAAAACCTAATTAATACGCATTACTACTGGCAATCCTGCCACGTAGTGACTTCTTGTTACGGTGTAGCCACACCATTGTGTGATTACACCGGCTTGTGCAATCCACACCTATGTACGGTCACACCATTGTGTGTGACCTGCTCTTCCATACAAGGGTACGTGTAACCCTGTTAAACTCCCCCCCATCATCTACCTCGCTGGAAAAGGAGTATCCAGCTCGTAGTCGACTTTCTCAAATTCCTCGACGAGGAAATTCATTGCCCGCGGCAGGCGTGATGTGTTGCGCTCGGTTGCCGAGGGATTAATGTGTATTTTCTGTGAAGCCGCGGACGTACTGTCCGAAAATGCATCATGTGCAGAAGATGTAGAAGGCTTCGTCCGCGGTCGCCCTCAGAGTAGCTAGGCTTTGTGTTTTTCGTGTCAAAGACACAGGGCCCATTGAGCGGAGAATGTTCGTTAATGTGCTTAAGAACTTACGGTCTCTCAGGCACGCGAGCCTCGTATGAGGTGACAGTTAAATGTAAATTGTGGATATTCACAATTTTGCACGACGTGGGCCCAGTTCGAATCTTGTGAACACTGTGTCCGTTCCCCGACCTCTCGACTCCCGGGGACTGTGGTATTATTACCAATCGATTTGGACGAGGCACAGGAGCAGCGATTGGAGGCTGTCCACGGGGCGGCTCTCTTGCGCTGGTATCTACGATCGGTCCTAGCCTTCGTGTGGAATACGGCTTCCGCTCAGCGGATCCCACTACTGAAGCGAAAGACGCGATCACTCGATCGTTAGGCGACTACGTAGTCAGGCCTCCGGTGACTATAAAAGCTGAGCTTGAACAGCGGAAAGATCTCCGAGCTCGCTTTTTGGTACCCCAAGAAATCCTAATGGATCGGTACCGCGTTCGACTTCGACCTCAAAAAGGAGGTGATCCTGTACCCGCAATGCGGACTATTCCTGTGGTGCTCGCTCCTGACGAAATCGCTGCAGATGAGATAGCTCTTTATGCGATGGGTGCAGCGGCACCGGAAACATTCCTCGCTGTCTATCACGAAGCCATAAGGAAGTGGACGTGAGCGTTGAGCGACATCTTAGACTTGAGTTTGTCGAATTCAAGACGCAGCGCCGTTTTCCTGCGCAATGTTGCCTTGCGACACATGGAGTCATCTATCGCGCTCTTGCGAGCTTTTTGGTATCTCACACGGTTGAGTCTACGATCACAGCAGCTTAGAGCCATAGCTAGAGCTCCGCTTATGGCTCTCCGGCTTCCCGGGCTACTGCCGAGAAGCGTGAAACGCACGACGACGCGAAGCGTCATGATTTTTCTGATCATAAGCGTCCACGACGTCTGGGCAGTTTTGCCGAAGTGGCTCCTCAACCTCCCACGAGTTCTTGACGTCGGGGTATTCCCGCCACTTTTCAAGATATTGGGTTGACCCTCGACCCACAAGGCGTTCCACATGATAATGGACGCCACCATTTTCATTGTGAAGAGTCGGCAGCGGACGATGGTGACTTGGTCGATTGCCGTCCGGTATCTCGCGATGCTTTTCGAGCTTTGGAGGACAAGGTCCATCGTCATCAGCATTCCGTCAAGCATCTTTCCGAGGTCGCCTACCGCTGTGCGAAAGACCTCGAGAGACTGGAGCACTTTGCGGATAGACTGCCTCACGTTGAGGATTATCGCTCTATGTTGAAGCGGCTTCTAGCCGTCGAGCAGACAAATGTATCACTTCGTGCGGCGGTGGAACGCCTTACACCGTTGGAAACGGAAGTTGTTGCACTCCGTGCTCAGAACCTGTTTCTGGTTCAGATCTATGGGCGCCGCCACGGTGCGAACGCTTCCGCGTTCACTTGCGCCAGAACCCGGAACGGCGCAAGCAGGCCCACATGAATCACCGGAAGAATACGCATCCTTCTTTGAAGTATCAGCGCATACGCTAGGCCTCGATTAACCACGACATTAAAAGGTCCATAAAATCGAGGACGAAG